TCACTCTAAAAGCTTAAACTTTTTGCCGGGCGTAGTGGCTTATGCCTATGTAAGCAAGTAAGAAAACTATCTATCATCCTGAGTTCTCTCTTTCCATCCTCTCCCAAAAGCAATGATCAGCAAATCCTATCTGCTTTACACACCAAAATATACCTTGAATGTGGACTTCTCTTTCTCTGCTATCACTATTAGCCTTGGTGGTCAAGAACCAGATGGAACCCCATACAATAACAAAAAATTCAATTAGAAAACAATCTAAAGACATTTTACCAAAGAGAATATACAGATGTCAAATAAGCAAATAAAAATATATCCAGCATCACCGGCCATTAAAGAAATGCAAATTAAAACCACAATGAGATATCACTATATACATTTCAGAATGGCTAAAATTCTGAAATGGCTAAAATAAAAAATAATGACAATCAAATGTTGGCAAGGATGTGGAAAACCTGAATCATTCACTTATTGCTGGTGGGAAAATAGGACAACCATTCTAGAAAACAGTATAGCAGTTTCTTAAAAAACTAAACATGCAACTACCATATAACCCAACAATTGCATTTATCTCAAATAAAAGATTTATGTTCGCACACAGTTTTCTTACACAAATATTTATAGCTTTATTCCTAATAGCAAAAAAAAAAAAAATGAAAACAACCCAGATGTCCTTCAAATGTAAAATGCATAAACTGTGGTATATCCATATCATTGAATATTACTCAGCAATAAAAAGGAATAAGCTAATGATATGCACAAGAAATTGGATGAATCTTAAAGGAATTTCACAGGTGAAAAAAGCCAATCTCAAACGTTATGCACTGTGATCATTAATTTTATGCACCAACTTGACTGAACCATGGTGTCCAGATAGTTGATCAAACATTATTCTGGATGTTTCTGTAGAGGCGTTTTCAGATGACATTTACATTTAAGTAGGTTAGATGACATTTACATTTAATTCCTGAGCAAGAAGGAATTCCCTAGCAGACTGCCTCTGGACTTTGTGTGTAACATCTGCCCTTCCTAGTTTTCCAGGAGATTGCCTTCAGACCCAAATGCAAGTCTGTCTTCAGTCTCCAGCCTACCAGCCTCTCCCATCAGATTTTGGACTCACCAAGCCTCCGTAATTATGTGAGCAATTCCTTAAAATAAATCTCTCCCTATATACACACATTATGTTGGTTCTGTTCTCTGGGGAACCGTTTCAGTTTCAGCACCCTTTTAATTTCTTTCATACAACGTCAGCCCCACAAGAGCAGAGACTTAACTCTGTTTTGTTCACTGTTATAACTGGTGCTTAGCAAAATGTTCAGTAAATACTACATTTATGGAATGTTAAATCAATATATGTCCAAATCTCAGCCTGAGATACCCCTTCCCCCAACACAAGAAAGTTCGTGGCAACTCTTGCGGACTTCATTTATTAAATAGGTACTTGTTGAGTGCCTTTTATGTACCAGACACTATTTTGGGCGCTGGGGATAAAAACAAGATCTCCACATTTGTAGAACTTAGCTTTGGCAGGAAAGTGGCAAACAATTATAGACAAGCAAATAATAAAATTTCAAATTTCAAGCTTAAGCATTAAGAAGAAAATAAAGCAGAGTATCAGGCCCGAGGATGAGTTAGAGAAGGTAGGTGGTATCTATCTTAAGAAGCCTGGTTAGGGAATCCTCACTAAGCTGTCACCTGAATAAAGGGAAGGAGCTGGCTACATACAAATCTAGGGAGAAGTGCTTTTGACAGCGGTTGACTGAGTACAAACGTGCTGAGCCTGGGACATATTAAACAAGTCTGAGGCCAGTGCAGCTGGGCCCAGGGAAGGGGAGAAGGTCTCAGAGCCATTTAGGGCCTATGTCAAGTCAACCTGTTGGGCTGCGGTGAGAAATGTGGGTTTCTTGCTAAGGGTGATTGGGAAGCCTCTGGAGACTTTTAAGCAGGAGTGTATTACGATCTGATTTAACTTTTAAAATGTATCTTAACCACTGTGTCAAGAAGGTACTGCAAGGTAGGAATGGGAGCAGGGAAGCCAGGTAGGAGGCTGTGCAGACACACTGGGAAGAGCTGCAGACCACAGAGATATCTATGGAGAGGGTGTGGAGAGGGCAAGAAGAGGGGAGAAAGAGTTTGCCCCCCACCCACTTCGTTTTCTGGCGGGCTACAACAGGGACAACTTTGGCTCAAAAATCTTTTTTTTGTTTTTAGCTGGAATCTCACTCTGTCACCCAGGCTGGAGTACAATAGCACGATCGTGGCTCATTGCAACCACCACCACACTGGCTCGAGTGATTCCTGTGCCTCAGCCTCCCAAGTAGCTGGGATTACAGGTGCCCACCACACACCCGGCTAATTTTTTTGTATTTTTTAGTAGAGATGAGTTTCACCATGTTGGCCAGACTGGTCTGGAACTCCTGACCTCAGGCCATCTGCCCGCCTCGGCCTCCCAAAGTGCTGGGATTACAGGCGTGAGTCACCACTCCCAGCCTCAAACTGACTGTCCAGGGACTGGGACTTTCTGATAATCTCTTGTACTCCTGGCTTGGCCAAGTTTGACCTCATTTAATTTGTTCCCAGGAGATGCCTTTGCACTTAGCCATACCTGACCCAATTGGAGAGGAATGCAGCACGCTGAAATAACTGGTTTTCCTCCCATTTTCCCCTCCTCATTTATAGGAGAGAAAAAAAAAAACTGAGGTTCTCATTTTACTGAAGGAAAGGATAACAATGAAAAAATGGGGGTGAGAGGAGTCTTTTCTGTCCTATCAGCACCTAGAACTTTGGGCATCCTCTAAGATCGAATTAAAAAGTGAAGTAGCGAATGTGACCTAAAGGGTTTTAAATACGAAGCCTAAAGAACAACCACACAGAGCTGGTTTCACCCCACGCAGCGGAATTCGGGTGACTGCGGGCACCGTGCACGTTATGAATAGCGCCCACTCCACCAGCAAAAAGCCTGACTTCACCACAGCCAGGAGCGCAACTGGCACCAGTGCTGGGACCTGCAGCTCCTCGGTGGGTGCCAAGGCACGCTCTCCTGAAAGTCTGGAATCGCGTTATCATCAGTTCTCTGCGGGCAAAAGCAACCCGTGCAATCAAAAGAACTGAACGGCACTCCTACCCCGCGTGGAGATCAACTTTTAGCACATCCCGGTTGGTGCGGAGATCAGTCATTCACTTCTGAGAGCAGAACCACAGGGGTCTTGGCTAAAGCAGAGGAAGCTGATCAGGGCGCCCCCAGGACCCGGTCGCGCTCCCAGTGGGAGAGGAGGCCGGTTTCCTGCAGCCGCTCCGCGCCGCCCCCGGGGCTGAGCACCAGAGGTTAAAGGCTCACCGGCCGCCCTCGCGCTCCAGGCAAATTCCGTTTCTGAAAAGGCAGGTTCAAAAGACAAAGGTTGGTAAGCCGCCACAAGTAGCATTCGTGAGGCGGCACAGAGACGCTCTCCTGCAGAATGTCATGTCACTGGCAAATGCCACGGAACTGCTCCTGACTGTGGACCGCTCTGGCAGCTGTGCGTGCCCATCGCCGGCCAAAACCGATGCGGAAAGTCAGCGTGGCTGCCTGCGCGCCTTACAGTCTGCCTTCAAAGCCTGGCACTCTGACACAGAGTGCCTCATGTTACGACTAAACGAGTTAATGCACGTCAAATGCTGAGAGCAGCACCTGGCACCACGCAAGACCTCAGTAAAGATTAACCATCGTTACTATTAATGTTTGTTCATGTTTTTCCACTAAGAAACAATTGTATTGTGTGTGCATTACATATGTTTCCTCTTCGATGTCATAAACACCTAGCAAGAGGAGGCTGTGACTTGTTTCAATCATCTCAGAGCATGGAACTGTGCTGGGCTCAATGAAAATTTGTGGTTTGAACTGAATTCTCTTCTCAAACCAAACATTTCAGGTGTGTCACCTTGCAGAGGTAACAGAAGTGAAAAGACGGTGGCAAAATGAAAAGATGAAATCTGAGTCTCCTCTAATCCTTCATTTTCTCACTGATTCTTCATCATATCCTTCATTTTGTTGCTGCTTGTTACATTTTTGTTCTGCTGAGAATTGCCTCCATTTGAGCCTCAGTGGAATCACTGGCCCCAGTTGCCATGCACATTTAAAGCTCAATAAATTTGAAATCTTCTGAACCCCCACAGGGTTTGGATACCGTTAAGGATTACTTAGAAAGGCCCAAGCTCAAGCAATATGAGCAGATTTATTTGCGAGCTCTGTACTAAAGCAGAGTACTTGTATGAAGCAAGTACATACTTCATGCTTGACATACATGAAGCAAGTACATACTTCATTTATGTATGACATACATGAAGCTAAGTACTTATTATATGTTGAGACTATGCCAAACACTTTCACATATTATCTCATTTAAACCACTCAACAAAACAAAATGTGTGTTATTTCTATTCCATCAGGCAAAAATAAAAAACGAATTAGAGAAAAGTCACAGTGAGCCACTTGCTCAAGGTCATAGACTCCCCCATAAAATGCTGAGATTCAAACCCAAGTCCATAACTATCCAAAGCTCATTCAGGTCACCATTCAAGTCAACAATGGTCTCTGGCCACACAGCCCAGCTCTAAACAGAAACATCCACAGCAGTAATTCTCTGTGGCGCAGAGTGCCGTGTGCCTCCCATGCTCCACAACACAGCCTGGCAGCTCAGCATATTTGATCTTCTACAAAAGACTCCAAAGATTTCTCTTTTCACCTGCTCCCAATCACTGCCACACAACACATGCCTTGAAAGGTGAGTGCCTCTGGTTTGTAACTTATGTCTAAGGGACCTGCTCCCGTTTCCTGTCCTAGTGGAACAAAGGCACTGAAGCCACAGGTTGCTGAGGCAAAGCACTTATTGATTAGATTCCCATCAATATTCAGCTGCTGCTGAGAAGATTAGACTTGGACTCTTAGGTCTGAGTAATCCAACTCCTCCCTCTCCTTGCTCCTCCTCCTGCAATGCATAACCAGGCCTAGGTAGAGCCGCAAATAAACAGGCAGGAGCTAGGTGCATGTGCCACACTCACGCAAGACCTGGAATTGATAGGAGGACTCCCAACTAGTAAAATGACAGAAGATAAGGTAAAACAGCTTTGCATTCATTTCAAGTCTGGTTTTGAGGAGATAGTCAGGGGAGCACATTGAAGTCATATAGAGGATTTTGGGGAGGTTGGGTGCAGCTACCATAGATCAAAATTAATTCTCTTTACTTCGCAAATTGAAGAACTGTTTCTTATTCAGTAATTGGGGTTTTAAGGATTTTTGCTCTATGAACCGACTAGTCTGCATAACTCTTTTCGAGTAATTTTTGCAAAACCATATTATATCTAGTATATAATATAGGTAATATATATAGTAATATCTAAAGAAATGTGTCCTCTCCCAAAAAAAAAACCAAAGGCAGATTAAACTAAATCTAATCATGAAAAACAGGAAAGACAAAAGAGGTAGAAGGGTTGTTCTAGATTTTAAAAGACTAAGAAGAACTAACAACCAAATGCAACAAATGATTCAGACTGTGGAGGGAAGAGAAAACCAGCAATAAGGGAAATATGAGGGCAGTCGGGAAATCTGGACTATGACTGCATCTTAAATAATATGACTGTATCAATGCCACACTCTTGGATAGAATAATGGTATTTAATTATGTAGGAGGATGTCTTTGTTCTTTGTATATGCTAAGTATTTAGGGATGAGATGACACAAATATCTGCACTTACATGTAAATGGTTCAGCCAAAACAACATATACGCAAACACACACAGAGTGAGATTTAAATCAATGTGGTGAATGTTCACCATTGGTGACTAAAGGTGAAGGTTATGGAATGATCACTACACTACTGTTTCAACTTCTCTCTAGCTATCTCATTTAATCTACACATTTAATCCACCAACGAAACAAAATGTGAGTTATTGCTATTCTATCAGGCAAAAATACGAAACTAATCGGAGAAAAGTCACAGTGAGCCACTTGCTTAAGGCTACATTCCCCAGTAAAGTGTTGAGATTCAAACCCAATACTTTTTAAAAAAAAAAAAAAGTTGAAAATAAAAAGGATATAGTGCCCTTGTTCCCTTATACGTGGTTCCTAAATAAACTCACCTACCCCAGGTACACACAATAATATAAGTTAATCGATCTGTACCTTTGTATGGTATCACCTTTAAGTGGCGATCTGATGCAGATTACTGGTGAGCACTGCTTCATGTCATTAGCTGGCATGGTTAGGAGCACTGGCTTTGGAGTCAGCTAGACTTGGATCTGGGTTCTAGCAGTGCCACTAACCTGCTGTGAAACCTGGGTTAAGTTCTTTAACTGAGCTTTGGGTTTTCTCTTTTATGACAAAACATGAACATATTGGCATATAATATACCCTTTTTATAGGCAAAGAAACTTAGGCTCAGTGATATAATATGGGATATTCAGGAATTATACTAGTATTTTAGAGTTTGGGGGTAATTAAATGAGATGATATTAGAAAGGCTTAGATGACATTTTAACATTAATAGCTATATTAACTATTAATAGTGTTATGTACTCTTTAAATAAATATTATATAAACAGTACTTATAAGTTAATGATAAAATACAATATAAACACTTTATATATATATAATATATATACATATATAAACACTTTAAATACATATTATATAGTGTTTTAATCCAATGATACATATTATTTAAATAGTGTTTATATAATATGCATTTAAAGAATCATTAGTACATCATGATTTCATGAGTATTATAGCCCAGGATAAAACTAAGTAGTTAGAACTTTAAGGTCAATATAAAGACAAATATTAAGTTAACAGCTACATACGTGGTACATAGATTTAGCAAAACTCATGAAGATAGTAATCAAATAAAGTTTGGAAGATATTGCAAAAAGGAAGGTAATGTGCTTAACACAGTGTCTGGCATATAGCAGATGTTGCAGCTTCATTCAGAACTGTCATTAAATTTCCTTAGGGGCTTTTGAAATTATGTTGTAGATGTTTTCTCAATAACCAAGGAACAGTCTAATAATGTAACCCAGAAAGAATGAGAACTGAGGTAAAGTGCAATGTTTTCCAGCTTTGTGAATCTATCCAGACTTTGAAAGAAGTAGGAATAAGCAAGGGACTGAGGGTCAAGAGACCTGAGTTGTCACTCTGAATATGCCCAAAATACTCATAGAAATCAGACAAATAACATAAACAACTTGGCCTGTGAGACCTCAGTTTCTACAACCGAAGAATGGAGGAATTAGACAAGAATCCATTGCTCTCTAAAGCCTCTTTCAACTTAAAAATTGCAACTTGCTAAGTGCCTGGCTTTTTCCAAAGTTGCATGCAAGATCACCTTTGGTTTGCCTTTTGGAGACACGCAATTTAAAGAAAAGAGTATGAGCTTCTCCTCCCCATCTAGTCAATCAGTAGTTGCTGGAAAATCTGCTCTTTTGATTAGCAGTGGGGTTTAAGAACATCAGCTCCAGGTTCCCACACTAGCGTACCTGTCGCTAGCGGTGTGAAGTTAGGCATGCTGTTTAATCCTCTCTAATCCCTGGTTTCCTCACCTCTAAAATAGAAATAATTTCATGTACTTTGTGGTATTCTTGCAAAGAGTATTGTTAATGTCTAAAAAGTTGACACCTGTTTGACGAAAGAAATGAATGAGATGATAAAGACATGATTAAAGGTGCATTTGTTCTGTAGCCCTTTTACTGTTTATAGGAAGACCACATTATTTATCGTATTTAGTTTTAACAGTAACCCTATGCATTAACTATTTTTATACCCATTTTATAGGCAAAGAAACAGGCTCAGTGACGTTAGGAGCCTAATTGAGACTCTTTTGTAGCTTTTCTGAATCCTATGTCTTTGTTTTTACTAAAAGACCCTATATGGCTTATAAGCCACAATATAAGCACTACATTCTGTTTTATGTTGACGTTCGGCCATTTGCTTATTTTACCCTTCCACATTTATCCAGCAGCCTATTCTAAATTGAATATGGAGTCCGGTTTCTCTAACCTAAGATTAATAAGCTCCTAATAAAGGTGGCATTTTTTTAAAGCAAGCTGAACACCTTGTAACCTATGAATAAGTTAAGAGAAAAGGCTTGAAGATCTTCTGCACTTATTAGGTATGTGGCCTTTGAACAAGTTATTTACTCTTTCCATGTGAGTTCCCCCATAGATGAAATGATAATAATAATTCCTACCTCAACAACAGGGTTGTTGAGAAAATAGGCAAACCATTCAGAACTTAGATTAAGATCCTCTCTAATTTCTTGCTATTTTCAGTAGAACTTCTGTACTTATTTTTGGGTCAACTTCTTGGAGATTAGAGTGGACGAATGAAGGTTGGTGGGGCTTATTAAGACTTAGTTGTTTTCAGAAATTACCCTCTTAGAAACAAAACCGTCTCTGACCAAGACTAGCACCAAGCCATGTATGAGGCTGACTATAAACTTTACTTTTTTTCATTTCACCACACTGGAGAAAGAAAAGACAAAGAGAAGTGGGGCATTTTAACACGGAGTTCAGATAGGGGAGTTAAACCCGAAAATAAAAGAAAAAGAAAGTAAAAAGAAAATGCATGCAATTTCAGAGATTTTGATATTTGGGATAATCACTTTTGTTGGCAATTCTCAGAAATTCAAGTGACCTGCTTAAAATGGATGAGATTGCTCCTTGTCTGACCAATCTGGTGAAATTCTATTTAGGGGAGTTAAAGTAAGGAACTGCAGGCCCTGGGGTGGCAGACCACACCAACCCTCAAAAAGCCACCAGGAAGACCAGAAGATAAAGACTTTAATAACATGCTAAGATGTCTAAATGTTTCAAAAGTCTCCTGTCTCCTTCATAGTTGCTATTTTTTTCATTCCAATAAAGTGAGAAATTGATTTTAGAAACAGCTGCAGAATTTCGATAGTAAGGACTTAGAACAATTTGATTGGAAAGGAATAGGATGGGATCTCCAGCATCTTTAAAAATTAACTTTCATTTTTGTCAAAGTAATGTGGAAACAGTTAACACAGCTGTGACTTAGGCTGTGTAGTTAAAGTGACAGGGGAGAACTAATGGAGATGATTGACAGGGAAGTAAATCTGCTACAGCGTTCGCTATCACCCCAACTTCCATTTCTGTGTTGACCCTGCTCACCATTAGCATGGTTTCTGATTGGACACTTAAAGGAGAAATAAATTATATGTTTTTCTGGCAGAAGGAGAGGGAGAGAACCCCCAGGAAGTCAAATTTCTTAGTGGCAGTCACTAAGAAACCAAGTGCCACAAAAGAAAAGAAGATGCAGGGATAAGATTGGGGAAGTATATTGTGGTCTTGGGCTTGGTGGTGGGAAGATCCTGAGGTTCCTCTTCAGCTCAGCTACACATGAGCAATTGAATAGGCTTTCCCTTTTTGGACTTCTGTCCAGAGACCTCACCAAAAGTTTCTACTGGGAGGTGGGCGGAAAGGGATTTGTGTGGTAGGTGATGAGAAAATGCGCTTGGGATTTCTGGGTGCTTGAAACCAAATAGCCAAACACCCACAAGTGATAAATTCTGTGAATATGTATGCTCTTGGCTCTTTTTTGTGGGTTTTTTTTTTTTTTTTTTTTTTTTTTTTTTTTAGACAAAGTCTTGCTCTGTATCCTGGCTGGAGTACAGTGGCACAATCTCGGCTCACTGCAAACTCCACCTCCCAGGTTCAAGCGATTCTCCTGCCTCAGCCTCCTGAGTAGCTGGGATTACAGGCACGCGCCACCATGCCCAGCTAATTTTTGTATTTTTAGTAGAAACGGGGTTTCACCATGTAGGCCAGGTGGTCTTGATCTCTTGATCTCATGATCCACCAACCTTTGCCTACCAAAGTGCTGGGATTACAGGTGTAAGCCACAGCACGCAGCCACTCTTAGCTTTTTATTTATAAAGATTATGAACCTAGATTTTTCAGATGTGCATGGATTTTGAATATCTGTATCTGACTGAGGGATCGAAAATAATCAAGAAGTTAAAAGCATAAGCTCTGGAACCATATGCATTTTATCTAATATATAGATATAAATGTTAATATATATCTTATAGATGACATAAATGATATATAAATATATAAGTGATAAACATACATCAGATGTAAATGATATATAAATATACAAAATAAATATACATACATATTTTGAGACAGGGTCTTGCTCTGTCACCCAGGCTGGAGTCCAGTGGTACAGTCATAGCTCACTGCAGCGTGGACCCCCTGGGCTCAAGCAATCCTCCTGCCTCAGCCTCCTGAGTAGGTGGGACTACAGGTGTACACCACCATGCCCTGCTAATTTTTACATTTTTTTGGTAAAGATCTTTTTTTGTAGAGATCTTTTTTGTAGGGGTCTTGCTATACTACCCAGGCTGGTCTCCAACTCTTGGGGTCAGGCCACCTGCCCACCTCAGTCCCTGAAAGTGATGGGATTACAGGCGTGAGCCACTGTGCATGGCCAATTTATATTTAATAAATATATTATACAATATTATATATCAAATACATATTATTCTTTTGGACAATACATATGTATCATATGACCATATCTTTTGGGTCAACTTTGAAGTCCTTTCTTTCAGAGAAGGAAGATGTTAGGAGGGAAAGTCTGTATAGATACCCCCTACATTAGTAAAAGGGCTGGAAGCTTTGTAAACCTGCAGATTCCCTATCCCCACCCCAGAGATTCCAATCCACTAGTAGGTCTGGGGCTGTCTCTAAGAAGCTACATGTGTAACAGGCTCTCCAAGTAGGGTATGGTTTTTGAACAACTGGACTAAATAATTTCAAGGGCTCCCAGGATGGTTCTGTGATACCACTTAGTGAAATTCCTGATCTCCAGCTTTTCAGGGTAGTGAGGGGTCCTGGCCAATTTGCTATTCTTTATACTGGGGCTTTATAGTAGGGTAAGGGGATTTAAAATCATCTCACAATTTAGAGAAAAACTGAAGCGCCTGTAAGGGAAATGGCTTGGGTCACACACCCACTACGAGAGTGAGAACCGAAATCCATGTTGACATGACTCATTTATTTACGCAACAAACTTCCTACATAACCTGAGCTTTTTATTCAAAAATTTAAATTATGTAAATGCACATGAAATATTTTCCTTATAAACTGTCTAATCATATGAATAAAGAAAAATTTCCTTTGCTCTCCTTCTCCAGCCTCACATTCCTCCTTAAGGACCATCAACTCATTTGTTCTTCAAGAAAACATTCTACAAATTATATACATCATGCACAAATCAAGTAACTGATTTTTTAATCCAACTCATGTTCAAGCCTTTTACAAAACATGAATCAGATTATATAACTTCCTTTTCCACTTAAAAATAAGTCAGTACATGTAACCATATTATTCCTTTTAACTGCTGCATAGCATATTATATGTATCTGATGTATGAATTATGATGTATCTGAATCTATTGACTACTTCCCATTGAATATTTGGGTTCTTTCTACAATTTTGCTATCACATGCACACACAAAAAAACGCTACACTAAGTATCTGTATGCATGGTATGATTTCTCTGAGATAGTTAGACATGTAAATATAAGTTCAAGGGGATGAATGTTCTGCCCTTTTTCTACAGCTTTATTGTAGCTACATGGAGTTGGGCAGAAAATAATGTCCATTATCCTACAGTTCTAGGCTGAACTAGATGCAAGTCCTGAAAAGTATCCTTCCCTAGATGTTGACGCAGATCATGATAAAGACTAGCTAATGCCTCCTATATGAATTCTGAGGTGTTGTGTCACCATGGCAACGTCCAAAAGAGCTCCGTATTTCTTTATTACTGTATCTCATTTTACTGCTCCCAGTGATATAATGACTCTTTCTACCCTGGCAGTTACCTTCCATCAGCAGCAATTCCAGTTCTCTGTCCTGATTCTGAATCCACATATGTAAAGTTCAACAAAGTTTGGATTTTCTCTGTAATGACTATTTGGGTGGATTTTTTTAATCAAATAATTTCAACCATTTTCCTCATATATTATATGCCTCCCTATTCTGGTATCCAGTGAATAGACAGCAGAGGTATGTTATTGTCATGCACATATATGGAATAGAATGTCTGTTTCCTCCCCTGGAGGAAGCTGCCCCAAACTTCTTTCAGTTTTAGCAGTGCATGGGAAATGATGATGGCGCTTACATTTTTGTATGAACAACACCTGCCTGCAGGGAGCACAGGCCATACTATAAATCGATACTGAGGGGAAAGAACCAGCCTGTGAACCTTGTAAGAAACCCAAGCTGCAGCCTGCCAGAAAGATGGGAAACTAAAATTGCCTGGTGTCTCCCTGCCCTGTGTTTTGCCCCCTGCAGGTCACTGGGACCTTGGTTTTCGCTGTCGTCACTGCTGCACTGGGTTCCTTCCAGTTTGGATACGACATTGGTGTGATAAATGCACCTCAACAGGCAAGTGAAATGCATACAAGTTCTCTTTTCGGTAGGTTCTGTCAATGATAGATATCAAATGCTCCTCATACACAGAAATAAGGGGTGTCCACGTGGGAGACACACGGTTATCCTGACTTGTCAGGTATGATGTGTGTCGTTCCAAAGCTGATAACTTGGCCTTGACTCCTCAGTTAACAATTGCAGGTTAAAGAAAAGAGGCAATAAAGAATTCTTAATCTCTGACCCTGCTGTTTGCTGAGCTCACAGAAAACTCCAGCCAGAATATCATGTGCTGAAGGACACTTTCTAAGAAAAAAAAAAAAAAAAGAGCTTATTGCAGCATTCATTCAGAGCTCTCAGCCATACATGAATGAAAAGTGCCAGGGAATAAGGAGGTCTGTTTCACTCAGCACACATGTTTTGAGCACCTGCTTATTTGCACCAGGTGCTTTAACATACGATCTCCCCACTGGATCCTCCCAACAACCCTATTATGCCCATTTCCAGTCTATATTAAAACCTTAAGAAGCCCTAAACTAAAAGAGATTATAGTCCTTCCCCCACCATTCCTGTCTCTCCTAGGTGATCCAAAGCAAAATAATGTAAAACTTCAGAATAATATTTACGAAGTTCAATAAAGTTTGGCTTCTCTCCATGATGACTATTTGGGTGAATTTTTTGTTTTTCTTTCTTTTTTTTAATTTGGGTGAATTTTTAATCGAATCATTTCAATCATTTTCCTCACACATTTTGTGCATCCCTATTCTGCTATTCAGTGAATACACAGGAGAGGTATGTGATTCTCAGCTCCCACAGCCCTCATTCCCCTCTGCTCTAACTCAGACTGTGAGGTCATTGAGGGTGGGACTGATGAATTGTTCCTTTTCCTATCACTGGTGCCAAGCACAGTAGTTGGCATAAAGAAGGTACTCAATAAAGAGGAGTGAATTAATGAGAGAGAGAGAGAGAAGGAACCTGGGGAAGAGGTGTCATAAACTGAAGGTACAAATATTTTTGGGGTACCTTCTGTAAGTCTGTTATATTTCTTCTGCTTCTTTTAGAACATCAGGTCCCAAGGAAAATGTAAGATACTACAGGGTGTGGATATGTGAAATGTGTACTGACCATAATCCATCACCTGAAAAGGGCGGCTTCCTGCTGAAGGATGTGATCCAATTAGATGTTACAATCATCATGAGTGTGGCAGGCTGAGAGATCCAGGGCATAGCACTGGTGGTCAAGAGACCAGAGTCATATCTCTTTTGTGTGGGTGATGACAACATATGCGAATTTAGCAGGTTTCCTGGAATTTCAACATAGTTGAACATCATAGTTCAACATCACCATGACTTGATTAATAGAGCCCCTCCCTTTTTGTGGAAGACCTTATCACATCATTAATTAAGCCATCCCCGGCCGGGTGCAGTGACTCATGCCTGTAATCCCAGAACTTTGGGAGGCCAAGGCAGGCAGATCACCTGAGGCTGGGAGTTTGAGACCAGCCTGACCAACATGGAGAAACCTATCTCTACTGAAAATACAAAATTAGCTGGGCGTGGTGGTGCATGCCTCTAATCCCAGCTACTTGGGAGGCTGAGGCAAAAGAATTGCTTGAACCCAGGAGGCAGAGGTTGCGGTGAGCCGAGATGGTGCCAATGCACTCCAGCCTGGGTAACAAGAGTGAAACTCCATCTCTAGGAAAAAAAAAAAAAATTAAACCATCCCCTGCAGTCTTAGAGGGAAGTTTAGGCTAAGGCTTCACCTCCTGCAATCCAAGTCCCAGAGCCAGAGCTGAAAACAGTGATCCCCATACTGGCATCCAGGTTGGTGCCTTCTCTATATATAGACCCTTCCTTCTGTGTTTAAAGAGTTGCTGAAACACCACTTAATAAGAATGATTTTTTAAGCCTTTTTTATTAGCTGAATGACATTTGGGATTATTTGAAAGGATTTTAAAATCACACTTTCATATGGTTATGAAAATTACACATGCCTACTGAAGACAGTATTAAGAAAAAATTATCCATAATTATTCTACCTGAATTAGCAAACTGCTGAGAACATTTTGGATGTTTCCTTCCACCTTTTTTTTTGTCTATGCATATTATTCATATAAGGCAGCCTTCACTAGAGGCAAATGTTTTAGTTTTCGTTTTTTGAGACAGACTCTCACTCTGTCACCCAGGCTGGAGTACAGTAGTGTGATTTCAGCTCACTTCAATGTCCGCCTCCCCGGTTCAAGCTGTTTTCCTGCCACAGCCTCCCAAATAGCTGAGATTACAGGCTCCACCCACAATGCCCAGCTAATGTATTGTATTTTTAGTAAAGACAGGGTTTCACCATGTTGGCCAGGCTGATCTCGAACTCCTGACCTCGAGTGATCCACCCACTTTGGCTTCCCAAAGTGTTGGGATTACAGGCGTGAGCCACCATGCCTGGCCAGAAGCAAATGTCTTGAGCAGACTTCTTTTGTAAAAGGATGCTCGATTCTTCCCCTAACTCAGCTGGCATTATCAAATGAGTCTTGCCTGTAACTAGTAACCCAGAGCAGCTGCATTTCAGGGTCCTTTTCAGAGAGTACCCTCCCAGCTCATTGATGCTACACAGTGACCAAATCATCTTTTAGCGGAATGTCATGGGAGGAAGATGGCCTTTTACTCAATTATACTTTGGTATAATTGGACCCTACTGAAGCACATCACAAAATATGGCTCCATGAAATTTAGTTTTCCATGTCGTTCATTCTGTTATACACTTAACTCTATGAGGACCCACAGGAGAAACTTCCTTCAGGTCTTAATACCTTCTCAAGGACCACTAACTTACTGGTGTCTTTGGAATTTATCAATAATATTCTTGGTTGTTTTCTTCTTTTTGCTCTGGCAGCTAGGAAGTTTCCTGGTAAATGTATAGCTCACTTCCAACACACACACCACCTAGTGTTTGAATTCTGTATGCTAACTTTATTTTTGACCCTTATCTTATCTTTCCCAGACTCTTTTCTTATATCCACTTTTACGCTTCTGTTAAAATACTTATATAAGTCAACTGAAATCCTGCTGTGCAGAAGTAACACTAGCATGAAAATGTATCTTTTTAGCCTGCAGAACATATATATATTTGAGACAGGGTCTTACCTTGTCACCCAGGCAGGAGTGCAGGGGCTTGATCTTGACTCACTGCAGCCTCAACCTCCCAGGCTCAAGCAATCTTCCTGCCTCAGCCCCCCAAGTAGCTTGGACTATAGGCATGTGCCACCATGCCTGGGTAATTTTTAGCATTTTTGTAGAGATGGGGTTTCACCACGTTGCCCAGCCTGGTCTCAAACTCCTGAGCTCAAGCAATCCACCCACCTCGGCCTCCCAAAGTGTTGAGATTATAGGTGTGAGCCACCACGCCCAGCCTAGCCTGCGAAATAGTTTCAATAGTTGCCAATATTTAAAACTTGAAAAAAATTGCATAAAAATGCAGATTCCTGACTTTCCGTTAAAAAAGTAACGGTCGTCCCACATCAGTTTCACATTGACAGCTTTCTCCTTTAGGTGGGGTAAATGCTCTCCAGTTCTACAATTCTGACCATTCCCTCCTAGTCCCAAATAGTAGAAAATGTATCTTAGTCTTCTAGTCATCAAAGTATTACATATTTCCTTCATTTATTTGTTCCTACCTGGTTCTGGTTGGCAATGGAATTTGTGACCTCTGTTTTATAGGATATGGCCAACTGTAAACAAATCTACCTATGTTTATACGTACATAAAACCCATAACTGAGATGGTCCTATTTAAATATGTAACAAACACTTTAAAGACAAAACAAACAAAAATACATAGAATGTTTGAAATAGTAAAGCTATTTTTCTTTATCTCCTAGACAATAATATCTCACTATAGGCATGTTTTGGGTGTTCCACTGGATGACCGAAAAGCTATAAACAACTATGTTATCAACAGTACAGATGAACTTCCCACAATCACATACTTAATGAACCCAGAACCAACCGCTTGGACTGAGGAAGAGACTGTGGCAGCTACTAACCTAATCACCATGTTCTGGTCCCTGTCTGTATCCAGCTTTGCAGTTGGTGGAATGATTGCATCATTCTTTGGTGGGTGGCTTGGGGACACACTTGGAAGGTAGGCAAATTTCATAAATAAGCATAAACAGAAGCCTTCGTATTCTCATTTTGTTAACATTTCTTTAGGAAAATACTATCTTTCTTCTTGCAGAATAGTTTTTTTGTTTTTTCTTTTTTCTTTTTTTGAGACCGAGTTTCACTCTTGTTACCCAGGCTGGAGTGCAATGGCGCGATCTCAGCTCACTGCAACCTCTGCCTCCTGGGTTCAGGCAATTCTCCTGCCTCAGCCTCCTGAGTATCTGGGATTACAAGCACGCGCCACCATGCCCAGCTAATTTTTTCTATTTTTAGTAGAGACGGGGTGTCACCATGTTGACAAGGATGGTCTCGATCTCTTGACCTTGTGATCCACCCACTTCAGCCTCCCAAAGTGCTGGGATTACAGGCTTGAGCCACCGCGCCCTGTAGAATAGTTTTAAAGCCGTTTTTTCAACTCATGACCCTATGAGGCATGTTATCAAGGTTAGATCAAATCAATGAAAAAGGCTGTTGCAACAGTCTGGTTAATTGTTCAGACATTTGTACCAAATGCGAGTGTTGTGCGTATTTCTAGATAACTGCTTTGATCCTCTAGCTTTATAAGTTATAAAATATACTAGGAAACCACTACATGAACAGTTAACTCAGAAACTTAGCAGAAGAGACTAATGAGAGCTTTTAACCTGGGAGTCCACTGTTTGCTTCACCAAATCACACTGTTTCTCATACACCCAGTTTTTCCTTTTTATATTAGAATTTGGCATTTGGATCAGTTAAGTCCAAAGGTTCAGTCAATATCCCCAACTCCCAATTGCTCAATATACCTGGTCTGTGGTTTCTGGCTGCTGGTACTGCTTGCTATCTCAAAGCCCCAACCAGAGATGAAGCAAGAGTATCTCCATTTATCACTTGGGTTTAAAAAAAAAAATACTTTAAGTTCTGGGGTACAAGTATAGAATGTGCAGGTTTATTACATAGGTATACATGTGCCATGGTGGTTTGCTGCACCAATCAACCTGTCATCTACATTAGGTACTTCTCCTAATGCTATCTCTCCCCTAGCCCCCCAACCCCGGACAGGCTGTGTTGTTCCCCTTCCTGTGTCCATGTGGTCACTGTCCAGCTCCCACTAATGAGTGAGAACATGCAGTGTTTGGTTTTCTGTTCTTGTGTTAGTTTGTTGAGAATGATGGTTTCCTGCTTCATACATGTCCCTGCAGAGGATATGAACTCATCCTTTTTTATGGCTGCATAGTATTCCATGGTGTATATGATAACTTGGGTTTCTATTAGGTTTTTTGGATTAAAAGTATCAGTGAAACTCCTTTACCGTCAAATTTTACTTATTTATGCAATGTACTAAAGCTGTTGGGATTTCCCACCCTATATAGAGAGGAAATAGAATATCAAATTATTAATTTTTAGATTTATTCTCTCCTCCTTGAGTCCAGCTTTTGTATATTATCTTTTTTCTCATGATACAAATAACATGTCAAACATGAAAAATTTAGAAAATGAAAATGCCTTTAAAGATGTAAATAGCAATTCAGGCAACTAACTTAATTCTAGATTACAATTCACTTAGTTTTTTTCAATTCCTACTATAAATTATAATTTTTAGCTGTCTAGTTATTAAAATTCTGATAATTCTTCCTTTTACACTGGAGCTTTTATATAAAATGACTGTAAATTTTCTTAACTACAATATCATGGTAACTCAAGTTTTACTATTATTCTTATTTGCAAAGGAGTTTTCTCCACCATAAAAGACAGTGGTCAATTTCTTACATTTTAATCAACGTGCTGATGTTCAGTTGAACTTTAAATAAAAATCTGTAAAATACAAGATTAATAAACTGAATTTCATCATTAAAAAAATTAAAAATAATTTCAGTGTGTATCAAGTTGGCTTAAGTAGTAAATGGAGAATTCTCTAGATTAATTATTTATTTCTAAAGTAAATTGTTTCCTAGTAAGTAGATTCAGACAAAAGGAAAAAGGAAAAATAATTATTTAAAAAATTTAAATAAATCAAATTAAGCAAAATTAAATTACATTTTAAAATATGAACAAATCATTTAGCAACTACTGGTATTTTATATTACTTCTCATTCCTGAACAAAAAATGTAAACACTGGTTGCCCCTCATTTAGAGATAAGATTCTGACAAGTTCAGTGACTTATCCTAAAACATTTCATTACTGTTAACATTTAATTAACATTTGATGGAGTCGGTATATTTACCCTCTGAATCTCAGGATTTGGCATCAACAATGGTTTTACCCCAAAACAATGTCAAATGACCATGTATCAAATGACCTACGGTAAACAAAAAGTGAGGTTTCTTCTAGCTTTTAGTAGAAAAATGCTCCTCCTTGAATAACAGCCCAAAAGTTCATAATTTCAGCATCAAAATTAGGCCAAAAGTTATCAGCATCCCCCATAAAATTATCTTTCAAGAGAGATTCATTGAGAAGTGACATGATTTTCATTTTTACCAGTCTCAATTTATCCATCCGTTAAAAGTAAATAAAAATGTAGTACTTCCGTTATTGCTTAAAAAAAAAAAAAATCTCCTTGCAGTTGTGTAATAGATGACAATAGAAGTCTGTGGCCACCATTTTATAGTTTTGGGTTGGCAAGGTCAATTTTTCCAAGCTATGCATTTACAATTTAATCACCAGGGTACAGTCGAGAAGAATATGGTCTGTGCAATCCACACTACTGGGAGTAAAGGAAGATATGCGTAGCTTGCCTTTGAATGGATGCATCCTTTTCTATCAAAAATGGAAGGCATTAAAATGCAGCATTACCCTTTGGTTTCACACAGATCAAGTCCAAGACCCGTCCCTGAATGGCTGTATGAAAATGAGCAAGTTACTTAGGTGTCTGCCTCCCATCTGCAATGCGAACAAAATAATAATACCTACCTTGTGGCATTTTTGTGAGAATTTAATGAGAACAAATATAAAAGGTTTAACACAATGAATGACATCATATATTAAGCAAACAGCAAACGTGGCCTTTTTTGATTATGATAATGACGATGATGACAATGACCACGACCATGACAATAATGAAGCCTATGCTACCGGAAACATTTAGAGTCAGATTTTAAGACATATATTTAGGTAAAATCAAGTTTCTTTTCCCCTGATTCAGCCATTTCATGTATTTTTTAAATTATTTATTTGTGGCCATTTTTCATATCTGAACAGAAGTTAAAAGAATTTAAATTATATAAAGTGCTCCAGTATCCTTTGGTGACAGGGAAAGGGGACTTTAGAGCAATCTGGCACCAAAGATTCTTCCAGGCTATTTCTTTTATGATTGTTAATCTTTTTTTCCCCCTAATAAAAGAGACTATTAGCTAGGTGGTAACAACTTGTTAAGGTAAATTATTGAATTTGCTTGTCCTCTGTTCCTGTGTAGATACAAAGCATTTCACAATAGTCTAAGCTACTAAACACCCCTTAACTGTTTTTCTACTCCGTAGCTCTGGGGCTAGCCAGCTCTAAATCACTCTGTTTCCCTTGAGTTTAAGTCGCTAGTAGTTTCCTTATGCTCATTTCATATTGCTGCTGAAACGAATTACCCCTAATTTAGTGGTTTAAAACAACACAAATATGTTTTCTTATAGTTTTGGAGGCCAAAACTCCAAAATCAGTTTTAGTTAGCTAAAGTCAAACTGTCAGTAAGGCTGGTTCCTTCTGGAGGCTCTGAGGGAAGAATGCATTCCTCGCCCTTTTCCAGCTTGTAACGACAAACTATAGTTCTCTGGTTTGTGGGCCCTTCCTCTATCTTTGAAGCACAACCTTCTAATCTCAGCTTCTGCCATCACATCACCTTCTCCTCTTCTGCCTTACCCTTATAAGGACACTTGTGATTACATCATTGGATTCACTCAAATAATCCAAGATAATCTCTCCATCTCAAGATTCTTAATCACAAGGACAAAATCTCATTTGCTGTGTGAGGTAATATTTACAGAGTCCGGGGATTAGGCTGTAGGCTACTGGGGACATTATTTAGCCTATCATGTGGCTGTTACACAGTCCCTGCAGTATGTGACTTTATAGTTTCATGTTCCAGAAAAATAAAAAAAAAAAAATCTGGTGTTAAAGATGTTTGCATAGAAAAAGCCCACCTATCAAAGTTTGAAGCAGTGAAATAGAATATAACAAGGGTGTTTACATTTCTTTTGCCACAAACATTTTCATACCTGTCTACTCAGACATTTATTGGCCTTATCATTATCTGCTTGCGTACCTCACTTTCCCATTAATTAGGAATAAAAGTAACAGATATCTGCAAATGTTGGCAATTTTCATCTGATTTTGAAATTGTTTTTGTTGCTAGCTCTATTATGTCTTTTACCTTGGTGACTATTAATTTATAGATTTGGGAAATATGCTGGCATACAATGTTAAAATAAAGATAATTATAATTTTCTATGATAAGGCTTAAAGTAAAAGTATGTTTTAAATTACTTCCCAATAATTTCTATAAAGGAAATTTAACTTTGAAATTTCCTTTTCTATCTACATCAATTAAAAAACTGTACCATTGAAAGAATAAAAAAGTTATAGGTTGCAACTACAGAATTGAATTTGGCTATCACCAGACAATTATTCTTTATAATAATCAACTTGGGCCAGGCGCAGTGGCTCACACCTGTAATCCCAGCACTTTGGGGGGCTAAGGTGGGCAGATCATGGGGTCAAGAGATCGAGACCATCCTGGTCAACATAGTGAAACCCCCTTTCCTACTAAAAATACAAAAATTTTCTGGGCATGGTGGCACATGCCTGTAGTCCCAGCTATTTGGAAGGCTGAGGCAAGAAAATCGCTTGAACCTGGGAGGCAGAGGTTGCAAAGAGCCAAGATTGCGCCACTGCACTCCAGCCTGGTGACAGAACGAGACACTGTCTCAAAAAAGAAAAAAAAAAAAAAAACCAACTTGCAGTTGTTTGAAAAACTGTCAGAAGTGTTATCTTAAGCTAGCCATCACCATGATTGAATCATCTCTGTCAAAATGTAGAGATCGGGCTTGAGCCTGGCAGGTCAAAGCTGCACTGAAGCATGATTGTGCCTTTGCACTCCAGCTGAGTGACCGAGCAAGTAAGACCCTGTCTCAAAATAAAGATCAGGTGGATACAAGCTAGTTCTCTTATCATAAATATTGCTTATTATTAATACTTTAGTCCACAGATGAGTCATATTAGCAATCTTGGTTCAAAATTCCCCAACTTTTATAGCAAAATTAAAATAATTGCTCTTAAGTTTAAAAAATCTCAACATGCTCTGAAAGCAAATAGCTTTAGCAAGTTTTGATGCTGAATTTATAATCTTTGCTTTTTTAAAATTTCAGAATCAAAGCCATGTTAGTAGCAAACATTCTTTCATTAGTCGGAGCTCTCTTGATGGGGTTTTCAAAATTGGGACCATCTCATATACTTATAATTGCTGGAAGAAGCATATCAGGACTATATTGTGGTAAGTCATAAACACACACACACACACACACACACACACACACACACACACACACACACACATTCTCTCTCTCTCTCTCTCTCTCTCTCTCTCTCTCTCTCTCTTTCTTTCTCTCTCTCTCTTTCCCTCTTTCCCTCTTTCTCTCCCCTTTGTCTGAAAGTAACTCTGCAGGCAGATGCGGTAACATTCAGGGATATTTCTGAGTCTAGGGTGACGTCACAGAGGGAAAGGCAATAGCATAAAGTTGAAATCCTGAGTCAGGGGGATTTGGGACCAGTGAGTAGGAATTATGATGCTATCAAGGTTCTTGTCCATGGCAATGACATCATTTCTAGTTGTATGATCACAGACAAATTATTTAACTCTGATTCTTCATTTATTAAATGAAGTGGACAATAATATCTACCTTATATGGTGATTGTGAGAACACATGTAAAATGTTCCACATAGAATCTGACTTACAGTAAGCTACCAGTAAATGCTAGCTGTTGTTATTACTGCTGTGATACAGCAGACAGTGGGAGATGGCTATACCAAGAGCGTTAATTCTGCCCTTATGGACTCCCTGGCTGCTGTGTCTCCATCTCTTCTATCAGCCAAGACCTTAACACTCTGAACCCAGCTCCTAAGTCACATTTCCCAGCCCTGTACGATTCTAGACATGACCGAATGAAGCATTAAAGTGGTGATGTCCATAGGGAGAGGGAATCACACAGAAGCAGCTGGTATTTACAAGTTCAGAATAAAGGAAGGAGGCTCCTCGCATGAAGTTTATATCTGAATAGTGGGAGTCACTAGTTCGTAGAGACAGCTTTTCAAACACTCAGAGGCAAATAGCAGACTGAACGAAAGGAGAATCATTCAATTCAATAGCAGACAAACTATGAACAAAAGAAGAATCATTCAATCTCTAAACATCATGGGAGGAACCGTCTTCCTTTATTCTAAACTTTTAAATATCAGCTGCTTCTGTCTGATTCTCTCTCCCTATGGACATTACCACTCTAATGCTTCACTCGGTCATGTCTAGAATAGGATAGTGCTAGGGAATGTGGTTTACTAAAGGGAGAATCATTCAATCTCTAAAACAAATGACTAAATCTTTAACTTCTGCCAATGAAGCTCTGATTTTGATGGTGCTAGGTTGAGATTTAACCCACTTTCACAAACTGTAGTTGCTTTTCAAGGCACTTCTATCCATGGGGATGGAGAAGGAGGGATGAGGACATAGGATTTGTATATAAAAGAATTTTAACACTTTCACCTGCAGAAAAGACTTTAATTCCATGTATCTTCAATGACCAGTTGAAGTAAGAGTGTGAAATGCCAAGTTAACAGCCTAATTAAACATCTTTTTATTATTTTCAACATTAATACAAATAATGAAAGCCAGTGTAGCTTCATCAAGGTAAAGAGTCAACCCCAAATGTGGAAAGAGCTTTGGATTCAGAGCAAATCAATTCTGGCACTGTCTCTGCATGGCCTTAAATATCAAATCTGAGCCTCAGCTGCTTCTCCCATAAAATGCAGATAATAACACTATGAACGAAGTCCCAGTTATGATTATTCTTTCTTTTCTCTCCATTTAAAAAAAATACAATGTGAAAAAAATTATAAAATGTTTTTGTTAAAATTAAAAATAAATACTACAAACATATTGTAAAACAACCTATAACTAGCATAGTCAACTAACTTGTACTCCCGGACCATCTTCTAAAATTATGTTTGGCCCTATTCTGAATGTCAAAGTTCCTAAAAATTATAGGAAACATAATTTGACTTCAGGTTCATGTGACTTCAGACCAGTGAGCTTATCTACATTATTCTATTCTTAAGGTATAGTATAAGGTACTACAGAAAATTAATACAGCTTAGAATAGGGCCAAATAAATGATTTTTATTTAAGATCTTATTTAAGATCAACGGGCGACATATAAAAAGTCACCTGTAAAATTCAGCTGAAATATAGATGCCATATCACATATATAAATGTTCATTTGTGAAATAAGAACAATTCAAAGCATTAAAAATATATATTTTGGAAACAATTGTCAAAGTATCTTTTACACAAAGATCATCCATTTCAATTTGATAAGCAGGTAGTTTCTAAGAAGAAGCCTCTGCAAATCCTATTTTTAAATATTTAAGAAAATGCCAGGGCCGGGCGCGGTGGCTCAAGCCTGTAATCCCAGCACTTTGGGAGGCCGAGGTGGGTGGATCACAAGGTCAAGAGATCAAGACCATCCTGGTCAACATGGTGAAACCCTGTCTCTACTAAAATTACAAAAAATTAGCTGGGCATGGTGGCACGTGCCTGTAATCCCAGCTACTTAGGAGGCTGAGGCAGGAGAATTGCCTGAACCCAGGAGGCGGAGGTTGCGGTGAGCCGAGATCGCGCCATTGCACTCCAGCCCGGGTAACAAGAGCGAAACTCCGTCTCAAAAAAAAAAAAAGAAAGAAAGAAAGAAAAGAAAAGAAAAAGAAAATGCCAGATATTTAATTCAGACTTACCTATTGATAGTCTCTGAACTTTTTATGCAGTCAGCAAATGGCTGGTCATTCCACCGTTTCCAACGTAACGGATTACATGTGCATTTAAGAAAGCTTCAGAAGGCAAAATGACCTAGTGTTTGTAAATGTTTTGTATTTGTTTAAGTACCAAAAGTCTTTCATCATACACATTTTATATTTTCTGAAGCCCAATATGTGAATAGAATAAAGAAGCTGAGTTTCTCTGGTTTCTAACTGGGGAAGAGTCCTTAAGATCCTTAACCTCTTCTACCTCTCTGCACTTCCCCTCACCCCTCATCACCACCTTAACAGTGATCTTGAAGACCCTCTACATTGTGGAAATTCATATAGGGCATGTATTTCTCACACTAATGCTGTTGCTTGTGATCTTTGGCAAGTTGTTTCTCACCTCTATCAAGAGGCTGGTGGAGATATGTTCTGATTTCCTTTAATCCCATGAGCCCTGATTAAGAATATTATTAAGGCCGGGCGTGGTGGCTCATGCCTGTAATCCCAGCACTTTGGGAGGCCCAGGCAGGTGGATCACGAGGTCAACAGATCAAGACCATCCTGGTCAACATGGTGAAACCCTGTCTCTACTAAAAAAAAAAAAAAAAAAAAATTAGCTGGGCATGGTGGCGCGTGCCTGTAATCCCAGCTACTCAGGAGGCTGAGGCAGGAGAATTGCCTGAACCCAGGAGGCGGAGGTTGCGGTGAGCCAAGATCGCGTCATTGCGCTCCAGCCTGGGTAACAAGAGTGAAACTCCGTCTCAAAAAAAAAAAAAAAAAAAAAAAAGAATATTATTGAAACATTCTTCAGTTTCTTTTCTGAAGACAACCTAAGGTGTTATGATGTCAACTAAAAATTAACATGAATTTTAATTAAATAAGACAATAATGAAGAACTGCAAAATACATGACTAAGCATTTCTTTCTATTCCTATTTCCAACTACAACTGCATTTGGGGTCATATCAAATACCTCTTGCACAAACTACATCCATACCTAGGAACAAGGGCTCACCCTTACAATGAACTCAGGAAGGGCTTTCAATGAAGATATATACTGAACTTAAACCAAATTGTTGTTATCGAGATGGTCCTGGTTGCACTTTAACATTTGTGTTCATGTTTCATGCAGGGCTAATTTCAGGCCTGGTTCCTATGTATATTGGTGAAATTGCTCCAACCAGTCTGAGGGGCGCACTTGGCACTTTGCATCAGCTGGCGATTGTCACAGGCATTCTTGTTAGTCAGGTAAAAACTCCCCATCCTTAGCCCCTGCTGCGTTCATCTACTTCATCCTCTACTGTACCACTGCTTCTATTGCATCCCCTACCGGACCTCCTCCACTTCATCCATATTCTCCGTCCCTGATCGTCCACTCTCACTGCAGACCAGCACAGAGAGAAAAGCCAATTCTACCAGTGGTAGCAGAGGTGGTATACAGACAGACTTTATAGTTGAAAGGTAAATTATTATCACTCCTCACTTTTCCCCCTTGGAATTGTTGGTAGGATAGCACAGGGGTGACCTGGCAAACCAGGTCTTAACTTTGGAGCTGTTCTAGAGTTAAATTATTCCATGTAGATTTCAAGAAATAGAAAACTTCAAGTGTCTGCTTGCCTGGGTTTCCCCTGTTTTAAGCATCTTACTTGGGAATCTGATACGTAAGTGATTGCCACAGGAGCGTCTGATCAGCTGGGTCTGTCCTTCCCTTCTGCACCATGGTATCAGAGGGAGTCTGGGACCCCATGCCTATGACAATCCAGAGGGTAGTCTATAAACTATTGCCATAGGAATCACCAAGATAGCTCTCATCACAGTAATTGTTCTATCTACGAAAACCCTTTCTACTTAAGTTCTGGGTAATATAAGAAGGGAAATATCAAGCAAAGGTCCAAAGTTGTGGCTGATTTTAACACAGTATTATTCTATCTTGTTGTCTGGAGAATACAGCTATGTGTTGCTTTAGATATCAAATGGGTATTTTGGTCTAAGCTTGGTTGATTCTCATCCTGACTGTTCAATTGTAGTTAATGAAGACAAACCTAGGTGAATTTCTTGTATAAAAAATAGTTCCTCATTTAGTTAAGGAGACACAAAAGTAAGTTTCTGTCTTACGTTTACTTGAACCAAAGTTGTCAGACACTACTGTTAAATAGCCAAAGTACTTTTTCAACAAATTGCTGGAAAAGGTAGAGCCAAGTATTATGTAGTTGATATGCTTCCTCCTTGCATTTTCAGATTATTGGTCTTGAATTTATCCTGGGCAATCACGATCTGTGGCATATCCTGCTTGGCCTGTCTGCTGTGCGAGCCATCCTTCAGTCTCTGCTACTCTTTTTCTGTCCAGAAAGCCCCAGATACCTTTACATCAAGTTAGATGAGGAAGTCAAAGCAAAGAAAAGTAAGTCTGTGGATGGTTTTCCTTTCTTCCTGTTGTTTTGGCATTATCAGCCAACGTGAAACAGTGTGTATATATATGTAAAGCAGTGCCTTCCACGTGAAGTTGGTGATTAAATGTAAGAAGAGTGTGCAAAACCACGTTATATGACTGGCATATATCATTTTGCACCCATAGGCCTCCACTTAATCTCAAGCCGGAAGTCCATATACAGGGCACTAGACTCAACCAGAGGTTTCTAAAAGATCTCTCCAGCATTATGCTTCTTACATAATGAGGATCATAGTTTTATTTCTCTTAAGATGAGACCAAATGTTCTGCTTTTCTTTTAGATCAAAGAGCAGGATTTAATTTAACAAAAAATAACTTCCAACATCCATGCTATTAAGAAAAAGGGGCATGCAGAAATGTAGCTCTTCCATTAACATAAAAATAAATTTATTTTTGTTTTGACCTGACTTGTTTCAACCTGATCATTTTCCGGCACAGGCTTGAAAGGACTCAGAGGATATGATGATGTCACCAAAGACATTAATGAAATGAGAAAAGAAAGAGAAGAGGCATCAAGAGAGCAGAAAGTCTCTATAATTCAGCTTTTCACCAATTCTAACTACCGACAGCCTATTCTAGTGGCACTAATGCTGCACGTGGCTCAGCAATTTTCTGGAATCAATGGGGTGAGTTTAAGAATGCCCACTAGGCCGGGCGCGGTGGCTCAAGCCTGTAATCCCAGCACTTTGGGAGGCCGAGGCGAGTGGATCACAAGGTCAAGAGATCGAGACCATCCTGGTCAACATGGTGAAACCCCGTCTCTACTAAAAATACAAAAAATTAGCTGGGCATGGTGGTGCGTGCCTGTAATCCCAGTTACTCAGGAGGCTGAGGCAGGAGAACTGCCTGAACCCAGGAGGCGGAGGTTGCGGTGAGCCGAGTTCGTGCCATTGCACTCCAGCCTGGGTAAGAAGAGTGAAACTCCATCTCAAAAAAAAAAAAAAAAAAAAAAAGAATGCCCACTAACTCTTAAGAACACAGTAAACTAAGATAGGAAAGGCAAGGGGGTACAAGTTTAAATAGCTAAATGACATTTTAAGGTATTGGCATCATGTGTCTTGCTACAACAAACATATATTGAATGAGCATTAATTTTCATTTTGCTTCAAAAGTTTTTTTCTTTTCTTTCTTTCTTTTTTTTTTTTTTGAGATGGAGTTTTGCTCTTGTTGCCTAGGCTGGAGTGCAATGACATGACCTCAGCTCACCAGAACCTCCGTCTCCCAGATTCAAGTGATTCTCCTGCCTCAGCCTCCAGAGTATCTGAGATTACAAGCATGCGCCACCACGCCTGGCTAATTTTGTATTTTTGGTAGAGACAGGCTTTCTCCGTATCAGTCAGGCTGGTCTCAAACTCCCGACCTCACATCCCAGAGTGCTGGGATTACAGGCATGAGCCACCATGCACGGCCACTTCACAAATTTTCTAAAATTACTTCATGATCTTTTAAAATGTCAACAGTCAATGGTACTACATATCTATTAAGGTGAAGGCAAAAAGCAAAAATCATAATAAATACAAGAAGGGAAAAGGAGAGTAATTATATAACACACACCCCAAAATTGCAAGGAACTTCTAGAGTTGAACATTGAATTTAGGATTTCTGATACCAGATAGCCAGGTGCAAAGAGCAGTTTCCTACCATCCAAGAAACTTGCACTCTGTTTAGGGAGATAGCACACATAATAAATAATAGAGTAAACTGGCATGATATTAATGACTAAGAACAGTAGACAATACATGATTGAAAAACACACCGAGCATTAAACTAGCTAGCTTTTAGATCTCACATTGAAACCTCTGCATCATGCAGACTAAGTTGGTTTGACTGGCAATTAACTACTAGAGGAAAAAATTAAGCATTTGTTAAGAAACGAGATAAAGAAAACAACTTCTCCCCTTTTGTTGCTGTTAAAAATGTAAATCGGACATTTGCTATAGTGAGCCAATGCCGAATCCACATGGGACACTTTGGGGCTGATTGAGAGATGGGTAGACACTTGGGGGAGGCAAAGAAAGTAATTTCCATCCATTGAAACCAAATGAGATCTGAACCTCACTCCACAAACTCCACTGTGGTCCCCATCCTCCCTGAAGAGGTCCTTGATGTTTATTTTTATGAATATTCTGTATAACTCTGAGGCTCAGAGACCAAAATCACATCCCATATCTCAGCTCTTTCTGTATATCCAATGGCACAAAATTTAATTTCTCTGAACCATACTGTTTCAGCTTCCATCCCAGTGCTTACTTAATAAAGAGGAATCAAGGAAATGTTGAACCTGAGGCTGTTGGGTAGCCTAAAAATGGTGGGATAGTGTAAAGCGTGCTGTAAGCTTCTATGCACTGAACATCGTCGGCCCAGTCCTCTACCTCAGGTCTGTCTTCGGAAAGAGGCACCAGCAATGGGACATGTTAGGTGGGGAAGCAGTGACAAAGGATGATGGATAACAGAATGACCCAGAAGGCTATTACAAATATATACACATAACTAAATTTTAAAAGGCTACTAGATGGTGAACAACATTTATCCATATGTACGGAGACTAGTGAAATTTTTTGGATTACAGGCAATGGCAACTAGAATTCTTATACATGCTGATGAGACTGTAAAATTGTCATAACCTCTTTCAAAAACTGTTTGCCAATAGTTTTTGTTTGGCAATATCTATCAAAGTTGAGCATATGCCTACACCATGGTCCAGCAATTCTATTCCTAATTATAAATGCATACATATTCCACCAAAAAGACTGTACTAGAATGTTCCTAGCAGCACTATTCATAATCACTATTCATTATCACTATTCATAATCAACAGCTAAAAGACATTTTAAAATGTTGGCATCATGTGTCTTGCTACAATACACATGTATTGAGTGAGCATTAACTTTTGCTTTGCTTCAAAAGTTTTCTAAAATTACAATTTTTAAAAATGTCAACAATCAGTGGTATTATATGTCTATTTAATATTAAGCTGAAGACAAATGGCAAAAATCATAATAAATAAAAGGAGGGAAAAAGAATAATTATACCCGCCCCACCACCACAAAAAAACTAAGTTGCAAGTGGCTTCTAGAATTGAGTATTGAATTTAGGATTTCTGACAGCCTAATGGATAGTAAATTATGCATTTAGGAATGGCAGCTACCTAAATACTCATCAATAGTAGAATAGTAGTAATCGTGGCATATTAATACAATGAAGTACTACATGGTAATGATAATGTGCACAACACATAATAAGGATGATTCTCACTAAGAGGATGTTGAATAAAGGTCCAAAGTTGTGGCTGATTTTAACACAGTATTATTCTATCTTGTTGTCTGGAGAATACAGCTATGTGTTGCTTTAGGTATCAGCTAGGTATTTTGGTTTAAGCTTGGTTGATTCTCATCCTGACTGTTCAATTGTAGTTAATGAAGACAAACCTAGGTGAATTTCTTTTTTTTTTTTTTTTTTTTTTTTTTTTTTGAGACGGAGTTTCGCTCTTGTTACCCAGGCTGGAGTGCAATGGCGCGATCTCGGCTCACCGCAACCTCCGCCTCCTGGGCTCAGGCAATTCTCCTGCCTCAGCCTCCTGAGTAGCTGGGATTACAGGCACGTGCAACCATGCCCAGCTAATTTTTTGCACTTTTAGTAGAGACGGAGTTTCACCATGTTGACCAGGATGGTCTCGATCTCTCGACCTCGTGATCCACCTGCCTCGGCCTCCCAAAGTGCTGGGATTACAGGCTTGAGCCACCGCGCCCGGCCGTGAATTTCTTATATAACAAATAGTTCCTCATTTAGTTAAGGTGACATAATAGTTTCTGTGTCAAGCACAAAATGATATATATTATTTGGTTCCATTTACATGAAGTACAAAAGTAGGCAAAATTTATCTATGATGTCAGAAATTGGAAGAGCAGTTTCCTTTGGATAAATGATACAGGGACATGTAAGAAGTTTCCAGAGGGCTGGAACTTATCTCTTGAGCTGGGTGCTAGTTACACAAGTGCGTTCAGTTTGTGAAAATTAATTGAACTGTATATTTCTGTGTACTTTTCTGTAAATAGTATACTTTAACAAAACATTTCAAGTTATTATAAAAAAGATAAAGAATATGCGGTAGCAGAGTTTTCAGCTAAATATAAAGAGGACATTTAAGCAATCAGAAGCTTTAAGCACTAAAGGAAGGCTGAGGGTTATATTCCTTGGAAGGAGAAAATCTGTAGGAAGTTCTAGGGAGCATGGTGTCATAGAAACAACTAAAAATAATCTAAAATATTTCTTGCTTTAAACACATCAGTACCAGACTTTTGGATTAAGATTAAGGCTAAACTGTTTTTACTTTGCAGATTTTTTACTACTCAACCAGCATTTTTCAGACGGCTGGTATCAGCAAACCTGTTTATGCAACCATTGGAGTTGGCGCTGTAAACCTGGTTTTCACTGCTGTCTCTGTAAGTCAATGCCCTAGATAAACACTCCACTTGTTCCTTGGTCCAGAAATTGGGGGGTGGGAGGATCTAAAAGCAATCAATGACTTATTGTTCACATGCTCTATGTAAACCCAAGTGATTCATGAGAAGAGTTTCCTGTTTGAATAAGCCAACCACTGCACTGAGATTAGGCATAACTCAGAAGGTGAATCACTGGTTCTCTGCACTGCTGGGATGCCATTTAGTCATTCATTTGTGAATTATTAATTCATGTGGGGGCACAGGGAACTTCTTCCTTGTGCAGGTTCCTAGGTTTCTTCTTTTCTTGGTACATAAACCCCTCAGGATTAGCTGACAGGTTGGCATTTCTATTGATACTGGTTCGTCTACTTAGATTCCTCTTTTTACATAGTTGAAATTATCTTATCACGTGTCTTGGGGGAAACATAAAAGAATAAATAAACAAGGCCCTTTCTAACAGACATTTAAGCCTTTAAATAAAGTTAAACAGATTCAGCAAATGGTATTAAGCCATTGGGCAGAGCTTCCAAGTAGTTCACAAGGTTGTGGCTTCTGGTGACGCACGACAGTATGTGTGATATTACAAGGGAAGTGACATAGTAACTAGAAATGTTATTGTTTTCTTCCAACAACAAAAAAGAGGTCATATACTCTTTTAAAACCGAATAACTTTATATAAGAAGTGAATCGATACCCTGACAACAGGAATATTTAACATAATAATCTAAGAAGTAAACAACAACAAAGACAAAAACTCCCCAACTAATGTAATTCACTGTAGAATGGGAGTCATTGAGCTTATTTTTGTCTTTGTTCAACAAGATAAAAATATCAAAAAGTTTATTCTTTTCCATTTCGGTCACAATACTATACTCAATATAATTTAGTCACGTGTTTCATTCTCTGCACATGAACTCTTAACTATTACCTCAGGGTGATCAATAAATTACAGCCTGGCTGCCCAGATCAAAAGGCAGTTTGTCCAGACCACATTAAACAGTGCTGGACCTTGGAAAGAGCAGGAAAAACAGGTAATAATGAAACACCAATGGTTCTGCAGAAATACCTTTAGAGATAAAGACCTGTTCAAACCAAAAAGCCACTCTAAATCAATCAAGACCTGTTCCTGAAGTTCAATCCAAGAGACTATTCACCCTTTGGTTGCCTGGAATATTTTTTTTATAAATCTTTCAACTATTTTTATAATCTAGAGATTATTAAAACATTTTGTGTATAATAAGATTTTCTATGTAAAGCATCAAGTTGTCAAGATTAGGTATCCGAAATTCTGAAAAAATCTAAAGAGAAAACCCCTGTAAAATTTCATTTTTTGCCCCCTGCTCCCAACCCCACTGGTGTGGGAGGAATTGTTTTATTTAAGACAGTGTCCTAATTATTTTGAATATACCTTTTTAGAGTTCATCCTTTGATTCTGTGAAAGTTGTTGAACAGGGAAGTGACATAATCTTTAAAAATCAGTCCTTATCATTCATTAAGCCTCCAGGACTACAGATCACATTTAGAAATTTTAATTATATTAACTTTTGAAATGCTGTTTTAAAGTTCAAAAAGTATAAAAAGGATAGTCCCTCAGTCATCCAGTTTCTCTCCCCAAAACTAACCAGTGTTACAAAATTGTGTGTGTACTTTCAAACAAAAATATGCAAATAAGAATATGCACCGAATATATTAATGTTTCACCAACTTGGAAGAACATCCATTTGTTTTGGGGAAGAGAGACTTTCCCAACTCCGTACTAACTGTGTTCCACATCCTGTAGTTTCTTCCATACTAATGGGCTAGTAGGAAAAGGTTTGTAATCTTCTGAAAAAAAGCAGAAAGAAATACGGAGGGATCTAGGGGGCAGGAAGACACTGAAAGAGAAGCAGTGGCTACCATATTCCAATCAGGCACCCAGGATTTGTGTGAGGCACTAGGACAAAGAGGAGGGTTCCAACCGGGCAGACATCTCCAGCCAATGACCAAGTCTCACCCCTTGTCACACGCATCCTGAGTGCACACCAGGAATCAGGGACAGATGCCAATTCAATATTCAAGACATGCAGTTTCAGAGTTCATAATAAGGGACCTTATTCCCAAAGAAATGCTTGTATTTTACGGTAGCTTGACATGGTATCACCAAGCCAGTCTTGAACATCATAATAAAATGGTCAATATACAGAGAGAAATGTTATGAACTTGAGAAAAGTTTTTTTCCAACTTCCTTCTCCATAATTAAATGTGGGCTCTTTGCTTATCTGCCTATCTGAAGTGATTTAAAACTCCGATATGAGTGTGCCTCTGATAAACAGACTTTCACTGTGGGCGAAATGTTTCTAAGATATCTTCAGAGTCAGAGCTCACTATACTAAAGACATCGGATTGCTATTGATTTACTGATAGGCTGACGAGTTAGCCAATTTACTCGAAGGCACCAAGGTGAGAAATTATGACAGGGAGTTTTGTGGGAGAGAAGGAGGAGAATGACTCACCAGCCTTGGCAGTATTCCAAGAATCAAGCAAGAGTATAAAAACTCTGGTCTTGACTAATTGTAAATCTTAACATGAATGCAAAAGTCCATAAAGCAAAGGGAATCTATGACATATTTCCTCAGTTAAGATAAGACAGCATTTTAACCCTTTGCTTTTTAAAGTCCTAACTTTTAAAATGAAGAGTTCACTCCCAGCACAGCGTCCAATTAAGCATACCAGAAAAATGCAGGCCTATTTTGCTACAATAATCAAATTCCATACGTTGCCTGGTGAGTGGTCAAATAGGACTTTATTAAGCAGTGAGAAAGTTGGATGAGAATAGTCGACACCTGAACAGTCGCACTGTCTCAGGTATCAGTAGTGCGCAAATCCTTTTAATCATAACTTAGGATAATTATCAGAAAATAAGTTAATGTCACGTTTAAACGTGGAACTTTCACATTTTGAATGTACAAGGAATCTATTGGGAGAGACCCCAGTGGTACAGTCTCTGAATATTGTACCCAAAGTGATAATTCTGGAATAGAAACATTCTGGTTCCATCTGTATAATTCCAGTGCATTGTGGTAAGCAGCCTAATATTTCACAAATTTACTGAACAGAAGGTAGGGTCAAAGAATTGCTAATTGGAAGTCTGTGTTTGCTTTCTCTCCAGGACTTCTGTGGACCTTATGTGTTTTTCCTCTTTGTGTCACAAACCAATGTGACTAAATTAAGCAGATAGTTGATCATGACCCACTGTCCACTGAGACTCACTCTGCCATCTGGGGCTAGAGTCACTGCCCACCTCAATCTCACTCCTGTAAAATGGAATGGTGAATTGCCTCCTACCTGTCGTATAAATTAAAATGACCTCTTTGGCAGTAAAAATGATTTAAGTAAACGGTCAATATGTTGTGACTCACAACACTGAGATAATATGCTTTCAAACTGCCCTAGGTCTTCCTTGTGGAGAAGGCAGGGAGACGTTCTCTCTTTCTAATCGGAATGAGCGGGATGTTTGTCTGTGCCATCTTCATGTCCGTAGGCCTTGTACTGCTGGTAAGTTTGGTGCCTGCACTGAAGTTTTTCATTTCCCTATGATGGCACCTGGCAGCTCTGTGCTCCAGGTTAAAGCGCTTTGTATTCAAAAATATTTGAGATTGACTTAGGAAATAAACCCAGAGCAACGGCACAAAATACAACAGAGATATATAAAGAAAAGATGAACTAGTTTCTTGGATTTAGAGACTGAATATCAGCATGTAAATTCTATTGTCATCCAGGGAGGCCGTGTGCCCATGGTTAGACCATAGGCTCTGGATTCAGCACCAGCTGGATTTTAATGCTGACTCTGCCACATGGCTGCCTGGGCGGCCTTGGGCATGTACTGGACCTCTGCCAGCCTGGCATTCTCATCCACTACTTCACAGGAAGCTATACATCTTGCCTAGCAACCTTGGTATGAGTAGGAACAAAGGTCACTGGATCCTTGCCCTGCCTCCTTCACAGGAAAACCCTAATCCAGAGGATTTCCTTAGAAGAAATCTAAATCTAAAGAGTTAAGCATGATTCCGACTAGAGTAATTTGTCTCAGACTAGAACAATTTGTACTTGCTTGAACATAAATACGTTAGAAAAAGATGCATGCCTGCCTCTGAACTCAGAGGCTACTTAGCTAAAGGAAGCAGCAGGCGATGATCTCAGCCCCGCTATTGTTCCTGTTTTGTTCTTTCCTCAGAATAAGTTATCTTGGATGAGTTACGTGAGCATGATAGCCATCTTCCTCTTTGTCAGCTTCTTTGAAATTGGGCCGGGCCCGATCCCCTGGTTCATGGTGGCTGAGTTTTTCAGTCAAGGACCCCGTTCTGCTGCTTTAGCAATAGCTGCCTTCAGCAACTGGACCTGCAATTTCATTGTAGCTCTGTGTTTCCAGTACATTGCGGTAAGCAGCCTGATATTTCACAAATGTACTGAACAGAAGATGGGGTCAAGCAACTGCTAATTGGAAGTCTGTGTTTGCCTTCTCTCCAGGACTTCTGCGGACCTTATGTGTTTTTCCTCTTTGCTGGAGTGCTCCTGGCCTTTACCCTGTTTACATTTTTTAAAGTTCCAGAAACCAAAGGAAAGTCTTTTGAGGAAATTGCTGCAGAATTCCAAAAGAAGAGTGGCTCAGCCCACAGGCCAAAAGCTGCCATAGAAATGAAATTCCTAGGAGCTACAGAGACTGTGTAAAAAATTTTAAAAAAAAATACCCTGCTTTTTGACATGAACAGCAACAGTAAGGGAACTGTCTGCTTTTAAATGACGATTCCTTGAGCATTTTATATCTACATCTTGAAGTATTGTTTTATTTTTATGTGCTCTCATCAGAAATGTCATCAAATGTTACCCAAAAAAGTATTTTTTTAAGTTATAGAATATATTTTTGATGGTAAGACTGTAATTAAGTAAACCAAAAAGGCTAGCATATTTTGTTACACTAAAAGGCAGGTAGTTCTAGTATCCTTAGCTCTGTTCTTTGTAACAAGGCTTTGAGTTACAGTTTGTTTTGCTTTTTAATTGAGCACAGCCTGGTTTTCACAGGTACTCAAACAATCATGAGTCAGACATTTTGTATATTACCTCAAACTTCTAAGACGTTTAATCAAATCTAACGTAAGGAAATTTGAAGTAGAGGATTGATCAGTTTGTTAAAAATGTTTTCTGAATTACTACGTCTCAAAATAAGTTGAAAAGGTAGGGTTGGACCATTCCTGAGTGTGGGCTTCTGAAACTTCATATAAATGTTCAACTTGAGACTTTATCAAAATCCCTATTTAGTTTTCCTGGAAAGACTGATTGCTTTACAGTATGTTCCTAACATAGAATAATCCCCTCCTTCGACATTTCCTTCTATGTCTTAGCGGTATACAGACTCTATCCAAACTACTCTATGGCCATTACTAACATGTATTGTACACCATCAATCTGCCTTTGCCAACACAGGCAAATTGGAAATACATAGATCAGGCGTCCCCAAACTACAGCCCCCTGAGGCCACTTATCCGGCCCCCCACCACACTTCAGGAAGGGGCACCTCTTTCATTGGTGGTCAGTGAGAGGAGCACAGTATGTGGTGGCCCTCCAATGGTCTGAGGGACAGTGAACTGGCCCCCTGTGTAAAAAGTTTGGGGACGCCTGAGTCATAGATGATTAAACAGACGTTAGCTTACAGTCAATTTTACAATTATGGAAATACAGTTCCGATGGGTCCCAAAAGCTTAGCAGGGTGCTAACGTATCTGCAGGCTGTTTTCTCCACCAAGTGGAGCACTGATCAATCTTTATGTTTCCTTTAATGTGTACTGAAGAAAAGCACTTTTTAAAAAGTTATCTTTAAAAGTGCAAAAAATTAAACAATCACTGAACATTTGCCTTGTTTTCTAAAGCTGCTCACTTATATGCAACGTAGCAGTCCAAACAACAAGAAATTGTTTCTTTTCAGTTTGATTCATTTTTCCTTTGGGCCAATTTGGGATAAACTATTTTCACTTGGAACTTCAGGATACAGTCAAAATGAGCTTAAATAACTCAGGACATCTTTGTGCTAAACTGTGAACTCTGGACAAAAATATAAGGTCTCTGAATAAGGCAAGAACAGGACAATGGTTCCTGCGTGGCTTTTCTATGCTTCTTCTTCGGATGCTGATGGCCTTTGGGAAGCGCGGCATTAACACCAGTAAAGGCGCTTAACATTTTTATAGGAGATATATGTGATTTAATAAAATCACTATTCCTGATCTCATTCACTAACAGAATAAAGTGGCAAAGATTTAAATTAAAAACCCCAAAGACCACTTTTAAGTGCTTACGTACTATTTTGACTGGCCCACAAACACCAGAAATTCAGACTCCGAACTTTTCTGCCTCAGAGAAATTTAAGTGCCTTCTGTTGCTTCCCTTCTACAACTTTTTCCTTACAGAGATTCATGTGAGTGGAAAAGAAACATTAAAGGGAAATAAGAAGCTTTATAGGAGGACCAAAGAATTACCTTACTATAATAAAAAATCCTAGGTCTTCAGTGGTATACATCACAATAAAAAATAAAATTGACATTAATTAATTAAATTTCATCCCAGGGAAATTAGGTGTGAGTTAAACACCTAATTCTCCTGGTGCTCTCTCATTTTGGTGAAAGTATTTCTATATGCTAACATCTTTACAAATGTGATTTTTCTCTTAGCTCGTTTGAAATATGAGAATTAGACTTTATGGTCTGGGACTCACCTGCTACATCTAGGATTGCCCACTGTCATAACTCCCAGGAAAATGTCCTATTTTAGCTTCCTCCTCCCTACTTTCCTCTACATGGTCGGCACCATAATGTAACTAAGATGTCATAAGGCGTTGCTTCTTCTCCCTACACTTTAAGGAGCTCACAGTCTAATTGGGATTTCAGGAAGGCCAGTGTATTAATATCCCCATCTGTGTCTTTTGCCTTCCATGAACCTGGGTTTCTAGCCCTCTCTTGTAAAATGGGCACAGTACTATTACCTACCTCAGAGAGTTGTGAGGATTAAACACGAAGTGCTAAGCGTAGTGCCTGGTACAAAGAGAGTACTCAATACATGCTACCTAAAACTAGTATTCATAGCAATACTGTTGGGATCAAGGACTGGCATATATGAGATAGTTCCAAATTTTTGTTTTAAATAAAAGGAGTTTCATAAGTTCAAGATAATAGTTTCTTCAAAGAAACAATCTCACAACAATGAGGGAATGGTAAGAATCAGGAGAGTGTACTTACCTGATCACAAAGGTGGTTTTCCCAGAGCGAGTCTCATCCATTACGTGCCGGATGTGCTGACCTCTGCCATTTCCCCAAATGTGGGAAATCTAACTGCATAATTTATAGTAGTGGGGGACTGTGTTCACACTCTCCCCTGAAAACAACAGCAACAACAAAGAATCAGGAGAGATATTAGGCTAATTCCTAAATCCAAACCTGAAATTTCTAAGTAAGATTATAAGAGTTTTTATTGCATTTTTTGTTTGCTTTTGCATAAGTTATGTTATTTTTACGGGGTCTATATGTACTATTATTTCTTGGAATAATACTAATTAGAAAACAAAATTCTGTCTATTATATTTAAATGTAATTTAATAGAATTATAATCACAAGACAAGACCAAACCTTGTTGATAATCCGCAGTAATTGCATAAGAGGTATATCCATGTAGGCCAGCATACATGCATAAACTACTTCTTATTGCTAGCTTAATTGTTCCATATGTAGCAAATATAGCAGTTCAGCAATATCTTGTGCATACAGGGTCCTAAGCACAGGTGATGAGTCACGTGTAAATACATAAATATTTGGGGTTTTTTTTTCATTACAATTGTGTATTAGTGACCTGGGAGAAAACATTTATTGACAACCACTCTGATCCATCTGCTGCTATTTTTACTACTTTCTCTTTGGTACATGTTAAAAAGAACAACCATGAAAAGAAACTACTTTGAGTCAAAAGTATATATATACACAATAGTTTGTTATCAATAAATACATTTCTGAATGCTTGGTGCTGCCTCATTTATGTAGGAAAAAACACATTTTAAAAATGATATTCGTTTGTTGTATATACTCATTTCCTTCTCACAGTATTTTCCCATTCTCATTTTAGAAATAAAATGTGAATGATTTTTTAAGCCCAAATTTTATTCCCATCTGGCAGTTATTTGGATTATAAGTAGTAGAAAAAGTAACCTGAAGATTAAATAAGAACAGTAGAAGAAGAATGAATGACTCCATTTGAGACACAGGATCCCACTATGTTGCCAGACTGGTCTTGAACTTCTAGGCTCAAGCTATCCTCCCACCTCAGCCTCCCAAAGTGCTGGGTTACAGGTGTGAGCCACTATGCCCAGCCTGTGCTTATTTGAATATTCTCTTTTTTTCTTGGTGGAAGTAGCCAACAGTCTATCGGTTTTGCTTATCCCTTCAAAAAAACCAACTTTTTGTTTTATTGACCCTTTATGTCATTTTTGTTGAGGTTTTTTTTTTTTTTTTTTTTTTTTTTGTCTCAATTTCATTTACTTCTACTCTGATCTTTGTTACTTCTTTTATTCTGCTAGCTTTGGGTTTTTGTTGCTGTTGTTGTTTTGGGTTTTTTTTGTTTTTGTTTTTTCTTATTTTTTCCAAGTGTCTTACTTTTTCTTCTTCTCCCGCAGGGTTTTTTTTTTGTTTTTTTTTTTTCTTTTTTCTGATTTCTTTGTATAGGTTTTCAACTTTCTCTTGGATCTCATTGAACTTTCTTACAATCCAAATGTTCAATTCTCTGTCATTTCAAAGTTTTCATTTCGGTTAGAATCCATTGCTAAAAGTAGTGAGGTTCTTTGGGGATGGGGATATCACAATATTCTGTTTCTTCATAGTTCTTGTGCTGGCTCCTTCTCATCTGTCAAAGCTGTCACTTCTTATTTTTAAATGTATTTTCATTTGGGTGGATTTTTTTTCCACCTCCTTGAGGGTATGACTATTACATATGTTGGGTAGGGCCCTTTGGGTTTGTTTCTGTTTTTTCGGGAGGCCAACAGTCTGAATTTCATGGTTATAGATAGGCTTAGTGTAGGGTTTTTCTTAAATGCTAGCTGTTTGTAAGTTGTAGTATCAGTGTGATGTGTGTTTGTACGGTCAGGCACACTGTCTACTACAGAAATGGGGAGGTAGAGGTCTCAGGAGGTTGATCTCATTCTGCAGTCAGCAGGAAATAAAGTTCTGCGGTTCACCCTACCTGCTAGGAGGTAGCACTTGCAGTTAAAAGCTGGTCGAGTACTGTACAATAATGTCAGCAGAAATTGTGATGAGTCGTACAGATTGATCTCCCAGCCAGGAGGTAGCACTTGCCTGTGAGAGACAGTTGCAGCACTGGCAGCAAAATTTTTTCTTGACCTTTGTTGATCAAGGAAAGTACTGGAGTGTCTCTGGCAATGTGCAGGGAGTAGGGTTCCCAGGGGTCCCATCCCAAGTTCTACTGCTAAGGTGGCTAGAACAGGCCAAGCTGGGCTGATCCGAGCACCAGCCTTGATGGGGCCCTGGGGAAGCTCTCAGGCCACAGGGCCACTCTTCCAGGGAAGAGTACAAGTGCCTCTACTGTGCCATAGAACCCACTCACAGGAAAAGGGGCAGCCCTGGGTTTTCAACCCAGCAGGGGGCTGGGGCATACCCAGCAACAAGCCCAACAAGCCTTCTGTGCCCAGATTTTCAAGGTATTCCAGGTGTTCTAGACCCTGTGGCAGAAGCTGTAGCTATCGGGTCATACCTTTCCCCATCCAGTCTCACCAAGGGAAGGACACCCAGCTCCCCACCACCACATGAACCCATACCATACTTTTCTCTGAGTTTTGACAGTGGAGACTCTGCTTATGCAAAAAAAATCAGGTCATAGATCTCATCTCCGTACTTCTGGGTAACGTGTTCAAGTCCTGGGGACCTGGGACAAGAGCATCGAATTTGTCCTCTTGCCCCTCAAGGTCAGGCACTGGCTGTGATAGGGGGATGAACTGCTCCCAGGCCACCAACAAATCACTCATGGGGAGCCATGAAGGATATGCTGTGACCCTCCACCCCTATCTGCTGCAGAAGGCCAGTCAAGCAGTCTCGAAAGGGACTATCAGGCATAGGGGTTCATGATTCCAATGTAACCATAGTCCTGTGGCAATGGTGATGAGGCCTCTCTCGGGCACGTGAGCACACCCTTGCCCTGCTCTCTCCCAGCCAGCAAAGAGCAGGAGTGGTAGCCACTTAGATCAAGACACGGAACTTTGGGGTGGGTAGGTGACCAGAGTCACATTTTGCTCCAGTTGCCCAGCACACTGAAGCTTTTGGGGCTTTATGCAGATTCATGCAGTGTCTGTATGTTCTTCAGGTAGTTCCCTCTGCCAGGCCAAAGGTCTGTTTGTGTTATGCGAGCTCCTGTAGCTAGTATCTCAGAGGTCCACAGCAGTGGTGCTCTGTGGTTCCTTTACTCATTCCTTCCTTGGGTCTGGTCCACATCCAGGGGCAGTGTCCTGATGCCAAGCGATGCTGAGCAGGCAACCCCACTTCCTTCCTCCTTAATCATGGTGTCTTCTGTCACCCCTCCATCAAATTTTGTGGGTTTTTTTTTCTCTCAAAACATCTGTTCAAAGTATGAAGGATACTCAATATTTTGGTTCTTCTCCATGAGAAAAGGGCACAATCCAGCTGCATCTAGTCAGCCATCTTTTAGTTTCTCCTACAAATCTTGATAAAATCTATTTTATCAAACTTTAAAAGTATTTATTTTAGGAACATATCTCAATGAGAAATGTGCAGTTATTTTTCAATTAATTAATGGGTGGATATTCCTTATTGCTAAGATAAAGCAGTATTTGGCATAAATTCTATTATTACTTTTTGCTAATATGTATGTAAGTTTTGAAAATCTTGTTTTTATTAATAAGTAGATAGAAATAGGAGGACCAATGTCATTCAATTGCATGAATCATTTCCAAGTTATACCTCAAAAGCTCATAAAAATTAATCATAAAATAACTTAATAATCCATCAGAATTGTTATTCTGTTGTTACAGTCATTCTCTCACTTATTTTCTGAGCAAAAAGGCTTTGCAAAGACTTAACAAAATATTAATTGTCGAATCATTTACTTAGAGGCACATTGATTAAACTGATATACTCAGAGTTGGGAGAATTGAAATATTAATTTTATGCATTTTCACATATATGAAATAAAACTCTTCTATCTTATTATGTGCTCTATTTCCATTAAATTATTAGAATATAGATTTCACTTGTTAGCTTGTTCTGTTCATGGAAAATGTCTGTCATAACCCAATGGGCAAATCTATTTCTCAGTGTCAAACTGATTTCCCACATCAGACTTAATTTCTATCTGACTTAATTTTTCAATTCCAGTAAGCACCTTAATACTTACCTGCAACAACTATCTCCTGTCTGAATCCCCATGCTTACATAGGTAAACATTGATGAGGCATGGATACTTGCCATAAGCCTGCTCTTACATTTTTTACAGATATTTTCTTTTCTTTACCTTTACTGATCTTTCCCTCAGGAGCAATGTACTTTAATAATAATAATTGGGTAACGTCTGCTAAACAAAAGAGGACATTATCCAGTTCTACAATCCCTGAATTCAATTTCTTATGGCACCTTAATTGAGGTAGGCAGCATAGGTAAAATGATTTCCAAAGACTCTTTATTTGGCCCTCTAAAGGTTTAATACTCTGAGACAGTGCACCACGGTGACGGTCAGGATCCAATGAGGATTTTGACTTTCTTTTGCAAAGTGGGAGGATAATTATGAAAGGGGTATTGGAAAGAACTAGCCGAATGCCCAACTGCAGCCAAATTATTGAGCATGAAAGCAAGCATTTTTGTCCACGAACAAGGGATAACCGTTCCAATTTTCAAAACCGTCACATAACTTATTCACAAACTAAACGCTATTGGAGGTGGGATTGAAGGTAGGAAAAAAACAAAACAAAACAAAGGATCAGCCCAGAGGAACCACCATGAAAACAACGAGGTTTTGAAAGAGGAAAAGCAAAATGGAGGGAAGAAAATTATCAAAGATACATTATATTGACAACTTGCTAAACTGAAGAACAAGACTTGAGATTGAAAGTTAACTGTATGCCAGACACAATAAACAAACGAAGAAACCCCGAAATGTCATCATGAAATTTTAGAACAGCTGGGATTAGGAAAACATAATAGCACATAAACGCATCTAGAAAGAAAAGGCAGAACACATACAAAGGAACAAAACTCATAAAAACACGTAATAGCTGAGCAGCAACTAGCAGAACTAAAAAGCTGAGGAGGAATGCCTTCTGAAGAAATTCTGAAGAAAATCCACTTTCAATCTAGAATTCTGTCTCTGGA